GAATGCAGGCACTCCCTAGTATATGTCTGAGTCAAGCAGAAAAGGTCAGATAAAGTGATGTTAGGGAAATGAATCCTAAGATATGTATTCAAATGTTTTTTCTCTTTCATGCAATTGTTTCTAACACATTTATAAGATTATTTCTTTGTTGCTATGTATGTCCCTCCCCCACAGTATAACCCCTGCTTTCAATGTATTTGATGTTATAATTTGTGGAGGGGAAGGGGGAAAACAACTTGTTTAAATAGGGATACAGGAGGACCCATTGCAACAATGAGATGTACAAGTCGTTATGTCGAAAACCAACTTTACAACTTTGGTGAAGGGGGGGTGGGGGGTGGGGAGGGGCGGGAAGGATTGGGTAGGGGGTGGGGGGGGCGGAGGATGGGAAGGGATGGGAAGGGGAAACAAAGGAGGAGGCGACAATGCTTGATAAGAAATGTACTCATTATCTTGCCCATGTAATTGTAACCCCTCTGTACAGTATTTTCACAATTAAAAAAAATATGCAGGCACTTTGGGCAAAAGTTGATAGTTCACACAGTATTTATGAGCACAAACTATGAAATCCAGTAGTTTAAAACTGCCATCAAGGAGAATCAAAACATTGAATAAGAAGTTGATTCATATCAGTCATTTCAAATTTTGGTATTGTGGATCCAGAACAAAATGCTGTCTATTTGAATGCAATCTACACCAAGTGTAGAACATAGTGTGGTATAGCTATCATGGAATGAATACTGGTTAACAATAAAATGGACAAAAGGGAGAGATGCTACCATCTAAATCAGCCTCAAAAACTTTATTGTATGTGATAGAAGTCAGGTACTAAAGACTAAATGTTGTTTGATTTCACTTGTATGCACAGGAAAGCAAATATAAAGAGACAGAAAGTAGGTTCGTAGTGTTTTGGGTCTGAAGGTGGAATTGGTGGCTAAATTATACCTCCAGCAAGGTGGGGGTTTTTTAAAAGAAAAAAGTACAGAATACAAAGTAAATATATTTGGATAATCTTTCTCTGGGGTAAATATAATTGTTGGCATATTTTGTCTAATTAAAGGAAAAAACAAAAACATAGGTAGAATTTTTGACAGATTTAAGACTTTTGTTCATCCTTTTCCCTTCTCCCCAAAATTACCTATATTCACAACTACAAATCCCATTTTCATTTATTTGGTGTATAAGTAATAGTTATTTGAAGTTTAATATTTCAATATTTAATAATATTAAACCTTAAATATGATTTCTAAATTATTCACACAATCCACACAAAAAATGAAACTACCAATTAGAACAACATAAGAGTGGTTTCACAATTTTAAAATTTGACTATTTAGGGTTGGGAAGGTGGCTCAGTGGTAGAGCGCTTGCATGCATGAAGCCCTGGGTTCGATTCCTCAGCACCACCTAAGCAGAAAAAAAAAAAAGTTGGAAGTGGTCCTGTGCCTCAAGTGGTAGAGTGCTAGCCTTGAGCTGAAAAGCTGAGGGACAGCGCCCAGGCCCAGAGTTCAGGCGCCATGACCAACAACAACAACAACAAAATGACTAAATCATGTAAAGGTTGGTGGTGGGAATGTAAACTTGTTCAATCACCTGGAAAGCAGTATGGAGGTTCTATAAAAGATTAAATATAGAGCTCCCCTATGACCCAGCAATCCCATTCCTTGGCATTTACCCAAAAGACCACAAACAAGGCCACACTAAAGCTACAACACAACGATGTTCATTGCAATGTTATTTACCATAGCTAAAATATGGAATCAACCAGATGGCCCTCAGAAAAAAAATATGTATATATGCACATACACACTGGAATGAATATATGTATATGTATATATATATATATATAAATAAACAAATACACAATGGAATACTATTCCATCCGAAAGAATGGCATTTCCTTATTTGTAAGGAAATGGAAAGACTTAGAAAACATCAGATTAAGAGAAGCAAGCCAGACTCAAAGAAATATAGGCTACATGGTTTCCCTCATTTGTAATAACTAGAATATAGGTTATTCTTAGCAGAGGATCACAATAACTCAAAAGCTATGTGCATATGGGTATATAAAATGATGCTTATCAAAATGAACTCCAAGAAATGGAAACAAGATTTTTTTTAGTGTGCTGTTTGCAGTTATTTCTTTTTTGTTTTTTTTCTTTTTTCTTTCTTTTTTCTTTCTCTCCCTGCCACCTTTAGTTTATTGCCTATTGTCACTGTTTTGTTTTTCTTTCATTTCTGTATCATTTGTCTCGTATGTAAGTTTATCTGAATTGGGGAAGGTTTGGGGAATCACAGAAAAAGTGGGACAAAGAATGAATCAATGCAACAGTAATACTCACTAGATACTATATTTGGAAATGAACTTTACGATTTGGGGTGGAGGATAGTCAGGGGTGGGGAATGGGAAAAATGAGGGGGTGACACTGTTCAAAGAGAAATGGAATCATTACCTTACTTATGTAACTGTAACTCCTCTGTATGTTGCCTGTACAATAAAACATAAAAAATAAATCTATGTAAGGGAATATGTGGCTTGAAACCAGTCTAATGGTGTCAGCCATAATTGAGGGGATGGTCACTAACATAGTTCTAATCTGTAGCACTGAAATGTCTTGGAAAATGCTAGTGCTGTGTGACAAGATATCAGTGTGTCTCCAGCATAGAACACAGGGCTCTGTACAACAGACATTCCACAACTTCTGGCCCAATGAAGTGCAAATAAACCCACAAATCCATACATGTTTCCTGTAATTGTAGGCGCATGCACATACTACAAGAAAAATGACAAATGGCTTTTGCTGAAAAAGCACTAAATTGGGTCTAAAATAGTAACTAAAAAGCAGGATAAAAGCTTGGCCTACATTCCTTCATTTTGTATCCATCTTTGCTCTGAGCTATTCTGACCTATAGTTACTCAGAAGTCATCTTGAATTCTAGAAAGGACAGGACTAGTACACTCTCTTGTCAAGAGAGCTGAAGCTTCCACATGGACAACAATGACTTTCTTTTTGTGTGACCATATTGCTCCCCTCAAGTTCTGACAGCAAAAGCAATTTCCCCAGACCCCCTCAAAAAACCAGAGCTGAAATTAAGATCAAATAAGCAAACTATACTACTCCTGGGCCATATGCTTCACTTTCCTGCTCCAATTCTTCCTCTATAAACATGTAGCTCATCTCTGTATACCAAAGATAAGCTGAAATTATTACTTTCCCACTTCCCAACACATGCACCAGCAGCGTAATAAATCCCCTTTCTCTGACATTCGTCATCACTAGTCTCTAGCTGACATATTGGAATGACCAGTCCAGACCTGACCATAGACGTAGGCCTGTGACCTAGAACTCCGGGTTACAATCACCCCTAATACAGTTGTTTGCTTCACTTGTGAAGATGTCTGTGTTTGGGGTTAATTTTTAAAATAAATTTATTTAAACATGTTATCAAATTCAGAGTAAAAAATTTCCATTGCAAATTTCTTCAGTCGTTCAATAGAGATATAATGTTAATGGAAATATCACAGTTCATAGGATGAAACATGATTTTCAAAGGCCTTCCTTATTCTCTGCGAAATCTTCAGTCCTTTTCTTTCTCAGTCAACTCTGGCTTGCTTACATTTTTAAAGCGTTGGCTGATATCTGGATTGTGACTCAAGTCCATTCTTGAGTATAGTCTTAGTAATTCACCAACAAACAACACAGGCCTCTTAGTAATTAACAAAATAAGGTCTGTGTTAATTACAAAATAATTTTGCAATTAACAAAAGACGTCCCTTTTTTGGTGAGGAAAGGAGATCAAGTTATTTCGTAATTCTTGCAGAAAGTAAAAATGTCTTGCGAAGTTGTCTGCAGCAAGAATAACCTTCCTGTCCTCATTCCTTCAGTAAGTAATGGAGAAGCCACAAGGACATTTGGCGCCTGAAGCAGAAATTCCTGGTGCTTTGGGGGCCTTTCAATCCAGGAGGGGAGGGCAGAGGTGGGGGGGTGAGGGGTGGAAGGTAGCCAGCCTCCTTAACAACAGCACCAATTGTGTGTGCACCCAGGCACCTGACACAGCAGCCCAGCTCAAGTTTCTGGAAAACCAGTCTTCCATACAGCTGACTATTTAATAGCATGAGGTAAAATCAGAAGGATCATCCTTTTCCTGTTGCAAATGCAGGCTTTCCCTGTTTAACTTTTCTTCACTTAGTCCTTACATTATACTTGGAAGGGAAAGTTTTGAGTCCTCAAAATGGAAGAGCTCTGAGAGCATGGTACAACAGACAGAGCTTCGGGGATGCTTGCATGTTCTAGTGTTTGTGTTCAAGCGTTTATTTCTTCTTGTCCTTGGTGGGGAGGGGGGAGGCTGAAAAGTCTAAAATCTACGCTTGCGTCCTTGCTAAGGTAACAGTTGTTCCTTTTGCAAAGCTGCCTCGGGCTCTGCCCAACTCAACAAACAGAAACAGCAGGCTAGCGCTCAGGTGGGCTGCATTTGCGATGCGCCTACCAGAGTCAGCGGGCACCAGGAAGGGCAGCGTCGCACCTCCACTGAACTGTGAGGCTAGAAAATTCCAGGCGCAGTGAATGCCACGCTGTAGTCAACAGTGGCATCATCACCCCCCCCACGCCCCCTCCCCCAGGGGTTTTTTCTCTAGGGCTGTTAAAAGGAGTAGGCTGAGATCCTGCCCACCCCTCCTCCCCAACCTCAGACAAAGGGATTGTATTACAAAAGCCTAAATAAGTCATCAGGAGTCAGGTGTTACGGAGAAGTTGGTTCCTGGAGGGGATGGAGAGTGGGGAAACGGCTCTCCTGACTCTTCCCAAAATTGGAGGGGCGGGGGGGAGGGGAACTTCTGGCCCAGGGAATCAGAGGTCATCAGGGAAGGAATACGGGCTTTCATAAGATCCCTTTCCAGGAAATGGCCTGGTGAGTGGCGTTCCCCTGGGGATTCCCCACTCCAGGCGACCTGGACACCGGTCCACCCGGCTGGCGCACAGGTCTCCGGGGGCTCGCCTTACCTGGCAGGGCGCTCACCGCGGGGGTCCAGGCCTAGGCTTTGCCCTGCGTGCTCCGGCCACCCGAGTGGCTAGGCTTGGCTGCGGGGTGGTGCGGGGTTCAGCCACCGTCTGCAGATTGGGCTCCGCCCCACCGGGCCGGACCACAGGGCAGAGTCCAGCGGGCGCCGGGCGGCTCGGGGGCGGGGAGGAGCCGGGATTCTAGCCAAGCCTGCTACGCTTGCACCCGCTCCACAAGGCTGCACCCATTGACACCAGGTCCGAACGGTGGGGATTGGTGCGCAAGAGGACTGGAGGCCGCCGCCCTTCGAGAAAGTTTTATTTGCCACTCTTTAAGTTCAGAGACTTCTGTTTTCCTTTTGATTTTTTTTCCTTTTAAGTTCTAGCAAAGGTTTATTTTAGTCTAACAGGGTTAAAGTAGTGAGGCACAGAAAAATAGAAACATTTCCTGCTCTCCACGCAGGAAACGGGAGTTAAAGATTCCTCTTTTGACGGTTTTAGTAAAACTTTATTTTGGGATGATTTGCGAGACGGGGCTGGGCGGGGGGGGGAGCGGGCAGGGACACGATGGGGGAGTGAGGGCTGAGAACAGACCGGTGCCCCCTCCAGGCCTTGGGGGGGGGGGGGGGGGGGGGGGTTGCAAAAAATAGTAGGGAGAATTCAGAGCACGCCCAGCCCATCCTCCTTCTGTCCCCACTTTACATAACCATGGTGTATTTGTAGAAACTGCGAATTAGCGTTGGGCTGTTACTACTAAGGAAGCTCCAGACTTTATGCACATTTCACTAATCTTATGGCTGGTATGATTTTCACCCCCCTCCTTCCATCCTGCTGAGGTCGGCCTATTCGTGTGGCATCTTCTTATCTCCTTAAATCTGTGACAGCTTCTTCTTGTCTGCTTTGAGGCTTTGAGAGGTTTGAAGAATTCTGGCCGAGTACACTAGTAAAACCCCATGGATAGCCATCACTTGGTTTGTCTGACATTTTTCTCATATTAACACAAATGGAGAGGGCAGGGAGCCACAAATATAATGCTCCTCTCCTCTCCTCTTGGAGGGAGGGGATCAGGGAGGTACCTGGAGTCACAAACCATCACAGACGATGGATGATTTTGACCTTGATCTCTTGGTTAAATCTGTGTCCTTCAGGTTTATCTACCACACATCCCATACTATGTGATTTCATATTGTCCCACTTACAACTACTTCAGGCTATTTTTTCCCCAATCTTTAGAAAGATCATGAGCTTTTAGAATTTTGAATTAAAAATAATAAATACACAAATAAATACTTTCACCAACATCTTGCATATCTAACAGATTTGGGAAACCACAGCCCAAATTCCTCATATCTAGGGGCTTTACAGAAACTTCCCTGGAAACCTCCAATTATTGGTTCCCACCCATCACAGGGAAGTTCACTTTCTTTCCCCAAACAGATTAGTGAACCGATTATGGATTTGTACCAGTGAAACTGGTGGTCCCTAAGTAATTTGGGGGTAACTAATCCTTAAGGTTTGTACTGATCCTGTTCTCAAAATAGCAGTGGATGTTTATGACTAGCTTAAACATTGAAGAAATGCAGCTGTGAAGGATCATTTGTTATTTTGCTTTCCATTGCTCATGTTTGCATTTGCAAGTCAGTTCCTTAAACACCACATTTCCTCTCTCTGAGCTTATGTCTTGTGAGGCCTTGGCAAAAATCCTTCTGGGAGCACGAAATCTACTTTTTCATGAACCCAAGTTGGGGCCCACAAACACAGAATGGATGGGACAGTGGGCAATCCAGAGAACGACATGATCTACTTCTCAACTACTTTGGACAAATATTTTGTATTTCATTGCTACCAGTTCTGTCATGGTATAACTGCTCCCCCCACCCCGCCCCACTGCCAAGCTTTGTCTGTTGAAGCCCTAATCCACAATGTTATGGAATTTGAAAGCAGGGGTTCTAGGAGGTAATCAAGATAGAGAGTCCTCACGAATGGGTTTAATGTCCTTGTACTAACCAATAGAGGCTCTCTCTAGCATTGGAGAACAAAGGGAAAGCAGCGATTTACAAACCAGGAGGAGGGCCCTCACCCAACTTCATCTCTGTGGATGACTTTTGACCTTGGGTTTCTCAGCCTCCAGAGCTGAGAGAACAATGTAGACTCAGTCTACGGTTATTTCATTACAGCCACCAGGACTGACTAAAATGATATCCCAGAAGAAATGAGCAAGGTCAGTGATAAGCGTGAGGTTTTGTGTACTGATTGCGTACATAATCTTTCAGACATCTAACTGAGGAGCTATTAAGAAAAACAGTACAGCTGGACCACAAAACACAAAGGCAGGTAAGGCCAAGAAGAGGGAGCAAGCCTTGAATAACAGACAAAACGTCCGGGAAATAGTTTTTCGTATTCATCTCTGCTCAGAAAGGAAAGAAAGAACCATTGTGGGACTGAAACTCTGTTTGTGGTTACATAGTTGTTACTATTATGTTACTCATGACTAAAACACCCAGCATATATTCTGGAACAATGTAAGTGTCTACTTGTATGTACAAGTCTATCTAGATACATAAATCTGTTTTGAAGACTCCTTTTATATAACAATATAGAAACCATGACCTAACCAAGGGTGATATACAGAATATGTACTTGTTGGTTGAGTAGTAGCATCAATCAGTCAGAAAACCTGCCTGCCAAAATGAGCCATTGTTATAGATGAATTCATATAAACCAGCTCCAAGTCCACCCTAAACATTATTAGTTAAAACTACTGTTATTCTCTTCACAAAACTGGATGTCCCTTCAGAATTGTTCTTTCAAAACATCCAGTGGGATAGTAAGTCCTTTGGGCTAAGTGTGTTTGAGCTTCACAGGTTTTGTTTGTTGATGACCTTGGTTCTCTCTACCTTGGCAGTAACTGGAATAATAATGTTGTTTTCTTTTGCAATAGGAGGCTCATTCCTCAAAGGAAAGAAGCAGAAAGAAAGCTGAAGGAAGTATGAGAGCTGGGGTGATTCTACATATTATTTTTCCTAAAATAACTTATTATCTCTAAATTTCTCTTTTCTTACTCTTCCCTAAAACAATTCGAATCTGTTTTTCCCCCATTATACCAAGAAAACTTTTGTTGCCCGAGACACCAATAAGCCCACATTGCTCAGCCCAGCAGTCAATTCTCAATCCTCACAATCTGCAATGTTGGTCCAGTGTCTTTCTACCCTACTGTATAAAGGGGTGTTACTTGTCTCCTAGCCAGCGCATTCCCATTGTTGCTCTTACTGCACTGGCAATTTTGCTCAGTCTCCATCCACCGTTTCTCACCATCTCCTGAACTTTTCACTGTAATTTCCTAGCTATTCAGTACTTAGTCTACTTTGGTCCTCTGTCTAACCTCACTGCCTTGATTAAATGTCATCTTTATTCTACTGATCAGGAAATAGGAATCTCCCACTGAGGGCCTCTCTTCAGAGATCGGGCTCGTATTTCTAATGTTCTATTCAGTCTCTCAAATTCAGCCATCTCTGTGCCATACACTTTTTTTTAAATATGTGCCTGCTCTACCAGCAATCTTCACAAATTAGTAGCAGTCAACTTTAGTATTCCAGTTACCTTACATCTTGACAACATCAGCTTTCCATTCTTTCTTTCAATTCAATTTCCTATCTAATTTTTACTGTATATCCAGCCTATCCGAACATGTTATAAACTCCTCCCTGAAAACATATCCATACTTCTACTATTATCCTGGCATGCATCATCATTGAAGTTTCTTGCTCTAATAACAGAGGTTACCTACTAACCAATACTGTCACTGGCGTGTACTCATTACCTTACTTATGGAACTGTAACCACCTTTGTACATCACCTTTACAATAAAATTAAATTTTAAAAAACTTATCCTGGACAGAGCTCAGTGGCTACTGAAGGTATGAATAGGATCATTCTGGAGTGGTTCTCCATTTCCTGCCCCCCAAAAGTTCTTGCAGTGGTCTTCAAAGTTTTGGCTTCTACTCCCTCTCTGATCTTAGCTCTACTCGTCTTCCCTCCATCTACCTACCTGATTCCCTGGCTATTCCTTGAGCATGTCAGACATACTCCTGTCTTCCACTGATTGCATTGTTTCTTCTCCCCACAAATGTTTCTTTAGCTACCAGTAGGCTGAATTCCTTGACCAATTCCAAGCCTTTACTCAAATACTACCTTCTTAGTTTTATCTTTAGACTATCTTATTTAGTGATGCCAGCTCTCCTCTCCACTGTCCTTGGAATCCAACTTGCTTTTTCCTTTTTTATGAAGCACTTATACTACCTTCTAACATGGTAGGTAATTTCCTTAGTTTAATGTATTGCTTTTTATCTATGTCCCCAACGCTTAGTGTTTGCTGATGTATCTTAAGCAGTAATCTGGCATATGAGATATGTTCAGTAATGTTTGTCAAATGAATTAATTTGTAAAATTGGAATAACAGAAGGAAGAGCAGATTTTAGGAGGGAAATCCAGGGTTTTGTTTTGAAACTTTTACATCTGAAATATCTTCTAGGTGTCTAATTGGAGAGAGATAGCAATTAGGCAGTTGAATATATGGCTATAGTTCCAAATGGTATGCGTGTGTGTGTGGGTGAATTGTTGAGTGTATGGGAGAATATAGAATAGATGGAATATGGATGACATAATCTAGAGAATGAGTATACATAGGAATTGTTACAAGAGGACATAAAAAAGAAAACAGCCCCTATCCAGATTAATGGAGCTAGGAAGTTTTTTTTTGTCTCTGTAAATTTCATAATACCAAGAGTAGAGAAAATTTTGATTAGAAGTCCAATGAACCATTGATTAATATGTCTAGTAAGTAACCATTAAAAGCTTGTGCATGTATGCAATCCTGATGATGAATTATAAAATAATAATTTATTAAACTCCAAAGGACAATTTTAGGATATTTGAGCAAGTGAATCTGTTTAAAATTTGGAAAGAAATATAGTTTCCATCCTGTTCCTGAAAACAGAGTGCAACCAGAGGTCACACTTTGCTGACGTGCGTTATAGAATCAAGCTGTCCCTGGTGCTTGGGGGGGTCACATTTCAGCTGGCTCTGGTAGCAGGAGCAA